GATTTCCTACTCTTGCCTTATTTTCGAAGGATTTATTGAATATCTTTATTGTGCGTTAGGATTTTATTCTGAATTCTAGTGATCCGACATGAACATATAGGCCTGCTTACTTCTCTCTGTATTTAATTAGAGACCAACTTAATTACTAATGGAAAACAGAGCTTCTGTGTTTTCCATTATAATATTTATGCTTTCGCCCAATAAACTGACATCATCAGCCTACACTAGAGACGATTTTTTTCCCATTTAGTTCTAATCCCTGTTAGCTTCTCTGGTCATTCATAATGCAAAATTCCGAACCAAAGACGAAAACAATCGACAAAGCATCTCTTCGTTTCAGCTCATTTTGAATACGAAAGTGCGTCGAACAAATTAGTCCAGCTACAAGCAGTTTCATGGATATAGAGTAGGCAAATGAACGAGTGTATTGTGCATACAACACTCTTATCCCAACTGACTTGTGGGTTTTCTTGAATTCTATAATTATCTGATGTAGCTCCACTGTCCCATTTTACTCGCATCTTCTGTTGAATGCAAAACATCTGTTCAGTAGGTGATCTAAAGCGAAATTCACACTGATGTTCCGTAATAATTTTGTCTACATGTGAGGTTAACCCCAAGAGAAGTGTGTGTGTAGTAGTAGTAGTAGTAGTAGTAGTAGTCGGTAACAATTCTCGAAAATTGCTGCAGTTAATTTAGTCGCCTTTTATACATAAGTAAAAATGATATATTCCCTTCACTCCTCTGAAAAATATTCTTTATTATGTTTAGAATTAAGAAGTCTATGAATATTAGAACCTAATGTTTAACCTTTTGCTTGGATCAGTTTTGTCGGCACACATGTTAATTTATAACGTTTCAATTCTTCAACAGCAGTTTCAACCTCAAAAGAATTACTGCCAAATACAAATGCCGTATGTATTTCAGTTTGTCTAACATCTTTAACCTAGATGACAGATGTAATTCTTCCACCTGTTAAAATATTCGAGGAATTTACATCGTTAGCAATTTAGTTCTAGCCTGGTATCTCTTCTCGAATTCATATTTGCATTTTACATATCTGTGATATTTCTGTCCGTACTGTTTGTTTCGAGTTTATTGTTTCTGTCTTTCAGATGTTCCTTTTTCGTTTTCCTGAAATATGTAGTTTCACGTCTTACGAGTATACTGTTCAGGTTCTTTCCATTTATTTGTCTTGAATTCTGGGACTATTACAATTTAGCCTCATTCCTTTGTTCTAATAATTATGATAATTTTTCGTGTACTCGTGGTTTGTGCTGATTTAACTCGTAATAACCTACAACTTTTCTATTTTTCCGTTTCATGATATCGCAGCTGTCCCTAACAGAATTCTGTATTGCTCGTTTACTTACTGACGGTCTGTCCCAAACTTTCGCAACTACCAGCCACGAGACAATGGTCAGTATTATATTCGACTTCTATAATTTATAATCTATCAAGATCTGCTAAACCTAATTGTGTCTTGCGGCCAGGAGAACTGCATTTACAGATGTTGCGATGTGTTGATATTGTACTCTTGGCAATTAGATTTTGAGGTGCAACGAAGTTTCCTACTCTAACCACATAATGCTTACTACGCGTAGTTTTATGTACACACTCACTCCCAGCTACTGGGTTTAAAATAACTCTGCTCCCTACTTTTGTATTGAAATTAACTGAAAAACAAATTTCACATTTTTGGAAGAAAGTGATCAAATACATGCTCCAGTTCCTCATAAAAGCCTACCTCTGTATCATCGCGTTTTTCTTCGGTTGAGACCTGCATATTCAGAGGAATAATATCCCACCAAGGACCTCTTAATATTTTATGGCTTAACGATATCCTAGCACTGACTCATCCTACCCTCTGAAGACCAATTATTCCCTTATGTACTAAAAACCATGTCACTAGGTCATGTTTATCATTCCCATTTCCATTGAAGAAGGTTCGGTGTTCAATGCCGTGGTTATCCAATCTCAGTTCCTGTGCTCCCACTAAATCTGACTTATTCATTGCTAATTCTCCTGGTACCGTTTCCAATGAATCTGCATATACAGGCTCCTGACAATGAAAGTTCCAAATTTCATTTCCATTTTTCCTTTTGCTTATGGGACAGTAAGCAGGCTTGTTTATTTTAGCGCAAGCATTTCTGAAAACAAAAGGGTTACTAAACACTGTTCTAATCACCAGGTTCAGTTATTGAACCTTGCGATCCTGTTTTAAGAAAGGCAGAAGACAACTCACTTAACAATGCACCAATGACTGCCAAGTGAACAGCTGGCGGTCCTTAGCCCAAATCCCATAACGTCTATACCATCTAAAAAGAAAGAAGGAAACAAAGAAGAAGAAAGGAAAGAATGAAATAAGAGGGAACGGAACAGAGAAAGAGGTACAGGAAAAACAGAGACAGGAGAGAGAATAGTAAAGAAAGAAGGAAACAAGGAAAGAAAGTAAATGGAGAGGTAGAAAGAAATAAAGAAAAAAAAAAGAAAACGTTTAATTCTTTTTTATTTATGATAGGATGTTTACATTGAAGCAAATTACTTTTCGTTGAACTTTAACGGTAGCGTTCCACTTTCGTGGTGTCAGGCTTCTGCCTGTATCAGGTAGTTCTACGCTAACGTAGTTTTCATTATTGTTATTCAACTGCCGAAGTTACATGACGTCAGATGAGATGGGGTGACGAAATGAATGACTAGTAGGCTTATGGTAGACATGGGAACGAGGCAGTCTTGGCTTATTCGAAACAACTATTCCGATATCCAGCAAGAGACGAGGGAAACTACGAAATTACTTGTAACTCACTCGATGTTCGAACGTGGGACCGCCGCAACACAAAATCATACATCATGTAATCTTGTGCATAATATCTATTGCTGCAGAGCAAGAAACAAGGTATGTGGTTCTGATTTCGAATAACTGTTAGGTTTATTTGTGATTCGTTAGACGCGGAACCAGCAACATCACAGCATCAGTCTATAGGTAATAATGGACACATGTAATCAGCCAAGATTCTGAACTTGAGGATGGTTATATGACCAGTCTAATACCAAGTTCATAGTCACGAAAAGGTGTGACTAGAGACGGGATGTGATTGGTGAATGGATTTATTGACCACTTATACACACCACTCGGAATTACGAGTAATTACGGCGCTGATCTCCACTTGACAAATCACTACATGCTAAGCCTTCTTCAGCCTGCAGTGTCTCCAACAGCCGTTCCCTAGCAACGGCTTGCGACAGTGGAGATTCTTCGGCTTCCGGTTTTCAACTTCGCCGCAGTCTTGAAGCACTTATTGCACTTCGGTCTTGTCCACGAAGACTATTTTTTTCTCTGTGTCCATAATACCTTCTGAACAATTCAACGAATTTTCATGAAACTTAGTATGAACATCATACCGCTTAAAACCATTCCATTTTCTTTTTTGTTCCGTTTAATTTCGTGTCATTGATATCATCACGATGGTGATGAAGTGGGCGCGACACTAGCGTCACTTAATGGTGCCCCTTGAAATTTAATGGAGTACTACGTGTAGTTCTTGAAAAATATGCACCCCTTGTACGCATCTTGTAGAATGTAAAACAATTATTTTTAGCTTTCAGTTTGAGGGCGATATAAGATTGGAACTTGGGATTTGGATGAGGATGGACCATAGATTTATATTTATAAAGTCTGTATGGAACAGAATTTTATTATGTAATTATAAAGATGGCGATGATACGTAACTTTCAAGTCATACTTCACAAATTTAATGCAGTCGGAATTTGTAGGCCCAGATAACAGGAATTATGCACATAAATGGATCGCTTAGTTTTGCATTTATTACCTTATAATATTGCACCACTGCCACACAGATTGAAATAGGCCTATGTGAGGTAAGTTCTTGCCAAAACATCTCATTTTCCGGAAGAAAAGTACCTGTACTCAGTTGTGACAAAGGGCGGGAGATACTGTTTAATTCCTTCCACAATTTCAATTTTTCTTATTTTAGTAACACGTTTAAATTTTATTTTATTTTTTGGGTTTTATAAGAAGATAATGCCAGTACGAAGTACCGTTGCACACCATCAGAAATCCTGTTTTGAAACCCTCTCCGTCCTGAACTTAATTTAGAAAACACACTTTCATTTATTTGTATCAATGTATATTTATAATTTGTATTGCTGGTAACCAAGTATAGTTTTCTAGAAGTGTTAAGAAAGAGAACATTTATTCATTCACACTAGCAAACGCGATACATAATCTGAGACACAGCACGTATTTTTAAGCATGTAAATGATTAGCATGGATTCCTCGTAAACTGATCATGTTTAGTGTTCTAAGCTGCCGACTTGAACAAGGCCTTGTAACGTGCAATGCAGCAGAATCTATAAGTCTGTACGGGTTGATAAGATGGGAATGAACTACGTTACCTGGCACACTTTCTTCCTGTGTCCTTGGTTGATAACGCCGCGAATGGACTCAACGTAGATAACATTACGCGGACCGACAGCGGTTTAGTAGGCATTTGTGCTTCTGTCATCGAAAATTGCCAAACGAAGGTACCTAAGGTTTATCTCTTGACCCTAATGAAAGGCCTGGGGTTGTGTAAGGCAAGAAGTCTGGCTACCTACCGCAAATCTGCGAGCAACAAAACTGTGTCGTTTCCCACTTGGCACTCTCAGCCTTGAGTTGCTGTCGTCTTACTCTTTGACAATGACATCATAATCGGGAATAGTGACGTCATACCTATTATACTGTGTAATTGTTCAAAAAAGTTTGCAGGGCGATTCTTGGTATTTCTCTTCTACTCTTTTCGTGATTCTTCACTTCTTCGTCATTCTTTAAACTCTAAGTTTATTTTTTGGTTACCTTATTCGCGCGGCGCGCAGCAACTCGCTGCTCGTATCCATACGATACTGGGACTGCGCGAGTGAGCGGTAGAAATCGGTACTCATGTGTAGTCCGAAGCGCTGGGTTTGCGCAGTGTTACGCTAGCAACTGGCATGAGCCTACCGAGCAGACAGCATTCAAAGCGGTCTCACAACCTTGCTGGACATCGTGACAGTAGTGAAGGCGACTTTAGAAGACTAGCCGTGGCTAAAAATAACATCTGACGCGGGATATAAAGGTAAGGTATGCCAATATAACAGCCTCTGGAATAGCAAGTTGGCGTTTCACCGAGAAGTATTTGTTTTGAGGTTGGACACACTTACAGTGTGCTCTCATTCTGTACGGGAAGGAATGACACGTGATAACAATGAGGACGTGTTCGTGTGTAGTCGGGCAACGGTTCCAAATAAATAGCGAAGCCGTCTTTTGCATGAGCAGTGCGTGTATGGTGGTGTAATAACTGGAGGTCTTGTGCCTCGGTGGCTCATTGCGAGGGGTGAAAGGGCAGGCACGTGATTAAAGCGACCTTGCTTGCTGACATCCCCCCCTCCGTACACCTCAGGGCCGCTGAGCTATGACCCACTTGGAAACCAGCCAGGGCCTTCAGCAGCGCATCGAGCGTGTGGCGGTGTATACGTTTATGGGTCACAGAAATTGCTTAAAAAAAATACTGCTGTAAACATTGTGGTGCTGAGGGCCGATATGTTTTTCAGCATTGGAAGCCTATGAAGTGAAAAGTGTATGTTAGTTACTAAGCCACTGATTGTTGAAGGCAGTGAGGTAAATTGAAGATAAAAGTGAAAATTGAACGGATATGTGTAACAAACGTGACAAAGTCAAAATGTGCGAAGGAAAATGCGAGAAATATGGCAGAAGTTTTGAAGTGTGTAACGTGTTAAAAGGATGAACGCTTTGAGGTAGAAGGTGACATATTTTTAAGGGATTGTCAGCTTGAACGAAACGAAAAAATGCGGGAAACATTGTAGAGTTCAATTTTTGCCACAGGGAGCAGCACTAGATTACGGAAGTGTGGCTCCATATTGTTTCGGTGGAGAAGTTTGGAACTTGTAAGTTTTGAAAGGTATTTTGAGGCGAATGTGTTACTGCCCAGATTAAAAATTGATTATACACACGATTTTGAATATCCATTCTCATAAATCAGTGTTTAGGGGTTCACATCACAGGACAGTTGGGTAGATGGGTAAAAAAGCTAAGGTAAGGCCGACTCTGTAACAGGCAGTGGGGCCCATAGGGTTGTGTGAGGTCGAGGCTCCCACATTTTCTAGGCAGTCTGCTCACAAATTGCGGTAAGGTCAGTCTTACGCGCCGGCCGCACTTTACCCGCCAGGAAGATTCCTGGTACTCATTTCTATTTGAGGTTGAGTCGATCCTCGGGCCATAGCGCGGCTGGAAGGGTGAGGTAAATTGGGGGGGGGAACAGTGGCATGGGGAAACGAACCCGCGACCTTCCGTCTTTTAGCATAGTGACTCAACCAACTACACTACCCCGTGCCCCAAGGTTGCAGGGTACCATCTTATATATGCAGTATCAGTCTTCATTTCCTTTTATTTTCTTGTTTATGTATAGAAATTATGCCGCAGCCTGCCTTTATAATACTGTATAATTTTGTGGCAGTTATGAGACTTCCGGTTTGTATCCCGGAAGAAATACTGTTGCAGCATATCATCCTCATGTAAAACCGGGCTCAGCATTGTTTCAGAGTTTTCCATAACGGTATTATGTAACCTAAGTCTGTTGTAATAACAGAACCAAGTGTGTAGCAACGTATCAGGCATATTCATTTATTACTGACGTTATGACGTAACTGATTTTGGATCTCTCTTGCGACATGTGTTTGGTGATCGCATCTTGCGGTGATTAAACTACGATTGTCAAATTTGTTTGTGACTTTGGTTGAAACGTATGATCGGACGACAAGATATGCTTCAAGGCTTGTTAATTTAACTCGTTTTCGAAAGAAAAAAGTGGATGTAGTATTGCTTCCAGGAATTTTTTCCTTTGGCGCTACAGCCCCAATTTGGGCCTTGACCTACCCCCATGAAACTTCCCGTTTCACTTCGGTTTACTAAATCTTACACATTCGGTAGGACTCCTTGGGCGGGTGATCAGCTCGTCGCAAGGCCTCTACCTGTACACAAACACAGAAAAACGCACACATACACACAAACACTAAACATCCATTCTCTGAGTGGGATTCGAACTCACGATCCCCGCTTCCGAGCTAGCGAAGACAGTGCTTGCGTTAGACGACTCGGCTACTGTGACCGGCCGCTTCCAGGAATTAGTTTTTATTAATTTTTTAAATATAGCTCACTAATTTGATGCAGATAGAGACTTGCTTGGACAAAAAATGAATTTAAACTTTTTTTATTTATTCTGTACAAGTAGAAATAATAATTTTTATGATAAAGAATTCAAGGGTTCTCGTCTAATATGATGATTAAATGGTATCATTTATGTTTCTTTAGAATTTTAATAATTTTCTTACTTTTTGAATTACCTTCCGTCACCGACCCCAACTTCTATTCGGTTTTAAAATACTGCATATAGTATATATATATATTTGTTGTTAACTGTATACGTATAATTTGAGAATGGGCACTTGAATGAAAAGTGGCCTCTAGAACGATGGGACCCTTCTGATTTTGCACTTTAATGCTTCTGTCATTATTAAGTGGAGCATATTGGCAGGGCATGTAGAAGGAACATGACCGTGAGAAATCTGTACATTTTAGGGGAAAATCGCAAAACCACTTTCGAGATGGTGGAGAGAGGAGTGTATAACATCGAAATGCATTTTAGGGGAATAGAACTAAGCTCAGAATTACCCGATGGTGGGCGTAAGGTAACACCAATTGGTTTCATGAAATTCTGGAGCCCATGCACCAGGAAGTTGTGTATATACGGATCTAGAATCATGATAAATGTGGAGTTAGTAATTACATATATTACTAATTGACAGCACTTAATAATATCCTTGTTTTTTAATTACTAGGAGTTCCCATGTCTTATCCGAAGTTGGTGGCATTGCAAGATAATATTTTCATTCTTCCAACACAAGTTTGTTCGGTAGAATGTGATAAACAGGCGTTCGGCATATTTACAAATAGTTTATTTACTTTGAGTGGGGTGGGGGTGAATTTCATGCTGTTTGCGACTCCGTCCGAAGGTCTTTGTCACGGAAACAGCATTACTTAAATTATACCCTGAACATTGGCCACCGTCTGAAGACCGTAGAGTTCAACTGCAGTATAGGTTGTATTAATGAGTTTCATTGTTTCCCGCGCATCTTAACATTTAATTCATGTTTCTTCATTGTTGTCATTTCTTTATACCGTTTAGTCTCCAGTTCTCTCAGCTATTGATCCGTTTTTGCTGTTGGCCCGTCTGCGCAGGCGTGGGCTCGATTGCGTCCCAAGCTATGACGTCATTTAGACCATGTTCATTTTATAATAAACAACATGCACGTTAGCGTGTAAGAGTGATGCTCTGGCGTCGTCGAGATGATCGAGATCTTGCCTGTTTGGAGGGACTGAGGTAAACCACGAGAAACCTCAGGATAGACAGTGTGCTTGTCGAGATTATAACAGCAGGCCCCGAGTAAGAATCAAGAGCATTGCTGTTTGATATGATATACGTCAGATACAGTGTATACACATATTGAGGTGTGTGTACGTCAGTGTACTTTTGTTACTTGTCGCAGCGTTTGACTTGTAATCAGGGTTACGTGGCCCGAACCTGAACCCTGCCAGGGGAACTTAAGTATGTAGGTCTTCGTGTATTCCTCCATCACCACAAATAATAATAATAATAATAGCAGAAATGTACCGTATGAATGCTTTTAAATTCCGTTGATGACTTTTATGCCCAGTACTGCTTGTGGGTTATACCCCCCGCAGAACAGGAGAACCAGTAAATAAAACAGTATGCTTTGTTTTTGTTAAACATTTTATGGGGACTAAAATTTGATCAAAACACCGGAATGGCAGAAGAGCTCTGTCTTCTGGGATATAATGCCGTATAGTCCGTTGAAATTAAGCAGACTTTTCCAAGGAGCATATCGTCTCCAGCTTCAGCGTAGAAGAGTTAAGTCAAGTAAGACAACAGCATGAAACAGACAACAGGAAACCCTAACGATGGAGGCGAGAAGTTCGTTCGAAACGTCGGTTGACTGTGAATGGACTACACGGCGTTGCATCCCAGAAGAGAAAACCCATCATAGCCACCGCTCTGAGAACCTCATCCTACTAGAAATAGTGCTTTGGAAGAAGAGTAAATTGAATGAGAAAAATAAATTAATGTCTTTCGTAATAAGGGGACTGTATTAGTGTAGAAATGCTTATGTTATATTCAGAATCCGAGTGAAGACTTTGTAACCATATATTCCGAAACAGTCCAGTACGGTCACTATCCAGGGCTGCGCCATAGCTCAAGCGATTAGTCGCTGGCTTCCCACCGCGGCGGCCCGGGTTCGATCCCGGGTCTGGTCAAGTGGGATTTGTGGTGGACAAAATGGCACTGGGGCAGGTTTTCTCCGAGTACTTCGGTTTCCCCTGCCAATCTTCATTCCAGTAATTGCTCCACAATCACCCTCACCTATCATCTTGGGCTGGGTCAATAGGCCAGAAGTGGCAGCAGTGCAAGGGACTTAGTACCACCCCACTAGCAATAAAAAAAAGGTCACTATCCACATTATCTTTTGCTGTCTGGTGAGAGAATTGTTCCGAACATGTGTGAATTTGTCACTATATGAATACCAGAAGTTTTTTTAAAACAGCATCTGTGTAATAACGTAACCTCCTACGTCATTGTCATAGGATTTTATCCATGCCCACATCAAGTAGACCTGGTAGTCGAAGTCTGTATTTTAGGTTCATCGCATTCATACTGTTTTCAGTGGACTTTTAAAATATACTGGAGAATTATAAATTATATAAGTTGTTTGGCAGATCTGTAGAGGAAGAAAGAGGAAAACATGGCATATTTGGAGACGATTCAGAAAACATGGCATATTTGGAGACGATTCAGCGTCCCAGAAGTGGTATTTCTGTTTGATGATATTTTCTCTTTGACATGATAATAAAAGAAAACAGGGAAGTGATGTATTGGCATGATTCTAGTTAAATATTTACACTTGTAGATGTAGATAAGTGAACCATTATAACACTGAATTTATTTGAACAGTGTTAACCAAAAATCTGGTTAGCCAATATTCT